CAATATTCCAGCTATATGACGGCGGTCTGTAAATAATCGAGTCTGGACCAGACAATCCAGTGACTGAAATCATGAGCATCGATCCACGCAATTGGGATACGATGACATGCATCAACGCAGTCAGTGAGCCTAACCACCCGATCCCGTTAGTCGCCTCTTACGACAAGCATAGTCGCCTTTTACGACAAGCATGGGTTGCTGAAGACCTATTCTACCCCGGATCTTCACGGCTCCCAGATCCATTTAGTCGCCTCTTACGACAAGCATCGGTTACTGGGCACCTTTATACTTACTAACCTGGAAACCCCACGGGTACTTCCCATAGTAAGTCAATAGACGCTCTAATTGGTGGGAAACTAAACCTTTTGTAATTGGGATAATAAGGAGATTAGTATACACAATGAAACTTGAGTTAGGAAACAAACAAACTAGTGTTTGAACACTTTGTTAGATCGCACCCGGGCGGGTCAATTTCCCGTATAGGATATCATAAAAAAATAACAAACAAATTCACAGGGCACCGTTTCCCACGATTATATTGAAATTACGACATTTACAATTTACCAATCAATGAAATGATGAATATTTCATTTAAAAACAATAAACATCGTAATTCACTGAGGGCTGACAACATGTTTACATGATTGTCTTGCTGTCTGTATCGACCTGATCCCAGCCACAAGGTCGATAGAGATATATATAGGCCTCAATTGTATAAGCGTGGGAACGTGTACAGAGAGTTGGAATATCTCACAACGGTAAATCGATCGGAGAAGTATAGATTATTCCTCACCACAAACGCGTGTTTTCCATTTTACAGGTCTGATAATTCACGCTTAAATGCCACGAGGACGAAAATGGGCGTGTGTGGTATTGCGAAACAGCTGGCAAGCCAACTCGTGGGGATTGCAGAGACGCTTCATTTGGTTTGAAAATGTGCACGCGTGCTTTCACGTCAATAGCTGTAAGCATATCGTTATAATACAGACGGACGGACGGACGGACGGACATACAGGCATATTTATTCAGTAATAAGGGCCATCGTTCCACAATACAAAAAATATTTAAACGGTAATATCCTGCACACAAAGGAATTATATTAAACCATTATTTTCTCGTGTCTGACAAAAAATACAACTTCAGCTAAATATAGTCCAGTATCATAATTAATATAGAAAGGCGTTTTCAGCTCTTGGATGTATATTTTGCTCTCTTAGATCAGAGAAGTGTTCACATATCATCATCACATGGTATTCATCTTTCACAAACTTTTATTTTTCTTCAGATAAAATTCACAGATCTCTCATCATGAGGAATATTATTGTGTGTTTCAGCGTAAGAGGCGACTAACGGGATCGGGTGGTCAGGCTCGCTGACTTAGTTGATGCATGGGTAGATTATCTCATCGGATGGCTAGGTAAATTAATGAAAGGATGGGTATATGCAGGTAAATTAATAAAAGGATGGGTATATGCAGGTAAATTACTGAAAGGATGGGTATATGCAGGTAAATTACTGAAAGGATGGGTATATGCATATATGATTGGAGAGACTGGTGGGATGATGGATAACAATAGCATTCAATGTAATTATCACAACTTAGTTACATTCTGTAGTTCCCACCCTTCACTTAAATTTAAAATGTCCATTAGTTTATTAACTACTGTGGTACTATATAAATATATTTAATTTCTTTCTCAAATTTACCATTGTATACCAATAAATATATATAATTATTTACAGACCTCCGTCATATAGGTGGAATATTGCTGAGTGCGGTGTTAAAAACAAACAAACATGTACGTTTTAGAAAATAGAGAGAGATTTGCCCTGCTCGTGGGCGTCAAGTTGTTACACAGAGACTGACAGATGGTACAGATATATGAATACTTTTTATTGACAGTCACATTTTTTGGAATGTCTTTTAACTCTGGTCCTTTTGAGATGATGTGTGACTCGATACTGAAGGCACTGCCCGTAAACAACTTTAGACAACGTCTAACTGAATAAAGTGATTGTCCCTCTATCTAGATAAAATAGTTCTATTTCCTCGCTATATCGATAATCGGACTCTTATTTTAGGAATGTCACTCAACTAATCGACAAGTAATTTCGACAGAAGCCAATCAAATGCAAGCAATTGCGATAATACCCATTCGGCGTTAACGCTTCGTGTAATCCCGCCTATCTCCGCCCTCACTCGGATGATTGTTGGTGCTGTACATTAATTGCAACAAGCCTCACTTTGTTTATATACAGGAACCATATGGTACTCAAGTTGTAGACTGCACGCCCCGCACATACCTTGCCTGGAGTTGTCTCGGTTGTAAACCGTTCATCTATAAATATTACTGTTTTGAACATTCCAATCTCCTACATTATATTGAGAAGCAAATACACCAAGGAAATTATAATATCAATAATACAGTGTTCACAGATGAAAACTGTACAATATATTCCCTTCGAGACATCCTCGGTGATTCAGTGTATATTATCGCCATGTCACCGTAGCCGCTTCATCCATTAAGTCGCCTTTAGTAGTCTATACAGACCCTGCTACAAATATATCCAATACAGCCCATGCAAGTCTTGTAATGTTTGGCAAGTCGAGATTACTACAGTGTCTGAAAATGAAAAAAGTACCTGGGCTCCTTTTTATTATATTTTTATTGAGATAATTTAGCAACCGTTTTCGTTCTGTGACATATGTTCATTTCAGAGACTAGATGTAAGTCTAGACCACGGGTTGCTGGGGGTCTATTATAACCCAGATTTCCCGCGGGGATTCATCGGGTATTTCCCCCTTACCGTTTTGGAAACAGTAAAGTTGACTGCGTATGCTCAGACATGTCAAGCTCACAATGTTATTGTATGCCGAGTCATAGCCCTCGCGTTAGGTCAAAATAATAATAATAATAATAATAATAATAATAATAATAATAATAATAATAATTTTTTTTAAATAACGCCTTTATTATTCTTATTCATCTTATTATTATATAAAGATAACAACAATAATAATAAAGAAACACCTTCATTATTATTATTATTATTATTATTATTATTATTATCAACCTAACACGAGGGCTATACACTCTCCATACTATAACATTATGGGCTGGACATGTCTGAGCATACGCGTCCAAATATAGATAGTCAGTCACTTGCCCGGCTTATATGTGACAAGATCGTAATTCAGTTGAACGAACACTTCCTGGTCGGGACACGGGCCGCGAGATAGCCAGCCTCTTCGCAATCTTACCTCTTGCATGCGTACTTGTCGCTCTGACAAGGGCACCCGGCACCGGTGGTTAAATTACATGCATATTTTCATGTGTTTACTTGAGCTAAGTAATTCTCAACAAGCACAAGCTGGCTTTGCTATTTCGTTATAAGACAAACTTTCCAACAAATAATGAAAATAGTGTTGTGAAAACGGGTAAGAGTGAGTGAGTGAGTGAGTTGGGTTTAACGCCGCTTTTAACAGTATTCCAGTTATATCACGGCGTGTCAGCTTAATGTTGGAGGAAAGCCCAAAGTGATGCAGGTCTTAGACGTTTACCACTTCGGTGACACCCACGAGCACGGGTATGGTGCTGACAAACCTAGAAACATAATCGGGGCGAACCGGGATTCGAACCCACAATCATAGGTTTCTGGCGTCCCCAAGGGACGCAACTCTGCACAGCGAATCGCGCCGCCTTAGACGACTGGGCCACCCGTGCCCCCGAAAACGGGTAAGAACGTGGGATTGAAAAGGGCCGTTTCCAGATCATCTGCTTAATTCGAGATACAGACTTAAACGTTTCCCCGAAAAGGTTTTTTTTCAGATGTTTCATAATCAGTGTCGGGTGGTTGGTCAACCCTGCGGTTAAAGCGTTCGATTCCCGGGTTCGATTCCCACATGGGCACAATGTATGAAGCCCATTTCTGGTGTTCCCCACCGTGATATTGATGAGTAATGCCTGTATTAATCTCTGTGTATGTGAATACCCGCTATTCACCACGCGCACTTTCATCTGTACAGACGTCCCTTATTAGAAAGTAATCATATCCGTTTTCATTCACCTCAACCTTAGCCAATGAGTGAGTATGGTTTTACGCCGCTTTAGCAATATTCCAGCAAAATCACGGCGACACCAGAAATGGGCTTCACACATTGTACCCATGTCGGGAATCGAACCCGGGTCTTCGGCGTGACGAACGAACGCTTTAACCACAAGGCTACCCGACCGCCCCTTAAAATGAAGAAGATCTCTTGGTTCCGTTTCAATATATGTTATAACCATATTTTAACACAACTGTTTTCCTTCCTGTAAAATGTGTTCACTGCAGAGACTAGATGGTAGTCTAGTAAGTATGCTAAATCACCCGTAGATGTGGCAGTGAAATATCGTGTTTATACAGCTTTAGAATAGGTCTTCAGCAACCCACGCTTGCCGTAAAAGGCCACTATGCTTGACAAAAGAGGCGACTAACGGGATCGGGTGGTCAGGCTCGCTGACTTGGTTAATGCATGTCATCGTATCCTAATTGCGCTGATCGATACTCATGAAGTCAATCAATGTATTGTTTAGTCCAGACTCGATTATTTACAGACCGCCGTCATATAGCTTGAATATTGCTGAGTGCGGCGTTAAACAACAAACAAACACAGTCTCTGAACTAACCGTGATGCTGTAGCCCTAAATGAAGCAAGACTTCCCAAAGGTTTGGAATCTGAATGTCCCATCTCAGCGGAGCTTCTTTATTATTTAAATGGAGTTGCTTGTTTTTAACGAAATTTTTATCGAGCCTAAGCATATGTCTAGTATGGATACCACTCAAGAAGTATCAGTGGTATGAGATCACTATGTCATATATAGACATATGTGAGTTTAGGATATCTGAATGTGAGGATGTGATGTGATGAACGTTTCCCTAGTATATCCGTTGCGTCCGGTTGAACACTGACAAACAGCAAAGATTTGTATGAGGCAGACAATGACACTCTTATAAAATAAATACATTTTAATAACACTTAGAATATGCAGCAATATTGACATAAATATAATCATTTGTTCCCTTAAGATTTATTATATCACTTGTTCATGGCTTAATTAGAGAGGTGACACACACTTCGACCCTTACTTTGTATATTTTGTGTGTATGGTAATGTTATTGCCTTCTCCTACCAATAGGCTTAATTTTGTGTAACGATTTTGACACAGTGGCTCCATCCATACCGCAGTGATATAATTTTACTCGCATGAAGGCACTTAGATAAGGATTTTTAGTTTTGCCAATATTTTCTGTTATTATTAGGCACAACACTCCCGAAAAACCTCTTACTAGAGACTGACACAGGAAGTTAAATTCCTCCATCTTGGATTGAGATTCCAAGTAATCAGGGGAGATAGCTACGAATGCATTTTGACTGTTTGAAATGCCTTTCATTATGGCGTCTATTTCCACATCGCCAGGATCGGTATCTCGCTCTGGCACAAACACACTAACACCATCGTTTTCGAGGTCGGGTATCAGATTATCTTTGACCCACACAATCACATCATCACTCACGGAGATATAGATATCGTTTTCCTTCGTGGGCTGTACTCTTGAACGCCATTTCCGCCATTTTGGACTGACGTAGTAATGCGCCAAGACGAGTAGTTCATAGCGGAACACATAGGATAAAATTGTGGAGACGACTACAACGACAGCCAATGTTCCAAGTATTCCGCCGACGATGAAGGGGGTTAGATCCTCGGGGGTGCAAACTTCCAAATACTCTCTCAGAGAAATATACGTTTCTGTGTCCTCCAAGACGCACGTAGAATGTGTTTCATTGAATTTGTTGATTTCCATCCAGTCAGCCATCCAACTGAGGGTGCAGTTACAGATGATGTGATCAAGCTTTAATTTGATTACTGACGGAGGGAAGAGTTGAATCTCTTTGGGTAAAATGCTAATTTTGTTTCCTTCCAAATTAATTTCAGATGCATTTATTAACTGTCTAGCAGCTTGTGGAGATATTCTGGTTATGTCATTGTTGGACAAGTCTAGATTCCTCACACGGGACAGATAGGGTCTGCCGTCCAGAACAGATATAGAGTTTCCCGTGAGGTCAATGACTAACGAGAGGCCGCCGATGTCGGGGAGATCAAACGGAAGCTCGGTAAGTCCGGCGTTGACACAGTCTACGAATATGTTCAAAACAGATGGCTGCCCTGTACACGTGCAGACACTGGGGCAGAGCTCAGTCAGATTACAGACCAATTTTCCGGGATCCATTTGAATCACAATCTCTCCTCGGTATTCAGGGGGATTTTCGCATCTGACGTTGAAGTAGTCCCGGCCGTCGATAGCCTTGTAGTGTTTCTGAGCTAGCATGACAAAAGAGTACAGCATGCAGTCACAAATCCAGTGATTATCCCTGATGTCGAACCCCCAATTAGACAGCAGACCCAAACTGGAGATGTTCCCAACGTTGAGCTGTTCCCAGTCAGGGAAGATTGTAAGGTTGTTGAACTGAAAATCCACCATCCCTGGTCCCCGGTGCTCCAACATCTCCGTTTTCAGCGACTCATTGTTGACAAGTTTCCTCAGTTTGTTATTGTTTAAGTTCATTTCACAAAATGAGTATAAATTGAAATTGGAAATGTCAAACGTTTCAAGTTCGTTGTACGAGAGATCTATACTCTTCAGTTGAGGCAGGTGAATTCCTAAAGTTCCGACCTCCATGGTGTGAATGTTATTTTGGGACAGATCAAGAATCCGTAGAGTGAACATCCCCGCAAATGTATCCTGCTTTAAACTAGAAATAAGATTCCTTTCCAATTTCAGCTCGTCAAGTTTACCCAAGCAGGACATGTCTTGAACATCAACGATCATGTTTCCAGAAAGATCTAATCTTCGTATATTAGGATAGGCACAAATATTGCTTGGTATGAACAGCAGACCGCCATTATTATGTTTCAGAACAGAGTTATTTCCCTTGTCTCCAAGGACGACAGCGTCACCTAGCGTTGTGTACTCCACTTGCAGTTGGCTTAAATCCAATATGAGATAAGACCTGCACTCACAGCACGCGTCTGTTTCTATTTGTTGTCTGCTCCATATGCTGTCGCAGGAGCTGCAGTCGCACAGGACGCCATTCTTCACCTTCTGTGTCATGCCACATGGTATGTGCTCCTCAAATGCTTGACCTAACCACGCGTCGCACACCAGATACAGAATGGCCACGGACCACGGAAACATGATAAAAGAAAAAAACACACGCCTCGAGAACAAGTGTTTCCCACCGGCCACCGCGTCCTCTGTGCTACTGTTAGCTACAACCCACTTCTGTCATAGATAAACCTCTCCATTACTGATCAGGCAGCGACCTGCATGTAGATAAGAGATACCATAGCAAACTTCCTGTTTCGTATACAAACACACCGTGCCCTGAATTATCTGGGTCGGGGGAAATTAAGATACCGGCCATTTGATTTTCTGAGGTGGGTGGGATTTTATCGATAAAAAATTCTGAAAAAATAATAATCCTTCAAACTGTTCAAAAAGAAGAAGTTGCCTGCCCAAAAATTACGGTCGTTTTGTCGTTAAAAAAAAATGCGAATAGATTTAAATAAGGAATCTCTCTCCCTGACATAATTCGTCCTGATCAGCAAAAAACCCTGACATAATACGCCCTGTTCAATACACACACACCTGGCCTAATACCTCCTGATCAATACACACACCTGACTTAATACGTCCTGATCAATACACACACCTGACTTAATACGTCCTGTTCAATACACACACCTGAATAAATACCTCCTGATCAATACACACACCTGACTTAATACGTCCTAATCAATACACACACACCTGACTTAATACGTCCTGTTACACACACACCTGAATTAATACCTCCTGATCAATACACACACCTGACTTAATACGTCCTGATCAATACACACACACCTGACTTAATACGTCCTGATCAATACACACACACCTGGCCTAATACCTCCTGATCAATACACACACCTGACTTAATACGTATGGATCAATACACACACACCTGACTTAATACCTCCTGATCAACACACACACAACTGACTTAATACCTCCTGATCAATACACACACCTGACTTAATACGTATTGATAAATATACACACACCTGACTTAATACCTCCTGATCAATACACACACCTGACTTAATACGTCCTGATCATTACACACACCTGACTTAATACGTCCTGATCAATACACACACACCTGACTTAATACCTCCTGTTCAATACAAACACACCTGACTTAATACCTCCTGATCAATACACGCACCTGACTTAATACGTCCTGATCAATACACACACACCTGACTTAATACCTCCTGATCAATACACACACACCTGACTTAATACGTCCTGATCAATACACACACACCTGACTTAATACGTCCTGTTCAATACACACACCTTACTTAATACGTCCTGATCAATACACACACCTGACTTAATACGTCCTTTTCAATACACACACACCTGACTTAATACGTCCTGTTCAATACACACATACCTGACTTAATACATCCTGATCAATACACACACCTGACTTAATACGTCCTGTTCAATACACACACACCTGACTTAATACGTCCTGTTCAATACACACATACCTGACTTAATACGTCCTGTTCAATACACACACACACCTGACTTAATACGTCCTGTTCAATACACACACACCTGACTTAATACCTCCCGATCAACACTCACACACGTGACTTAATACGTCCTGATCAATACACACACACACCTGACTTAATACGTCCTGTCCAATACACACACACACACCTAACTTAATACCTCCCGATCAATACACATACCTGACTTCATACGTCCTGTTCAATACACACACACCTGACTCAATACCTCCTGATCAATACACACACCTGACTTAATACGTCCTGTTCAATACACACACACCTGACTTAATACGTCCTGTTCAATACACACACACACACACACCTAACTTAATACCTCCCGATCAACACACACACACACCTGACTTAATACGTCCTGATCAATACACACACACACCTGACTTAATACGTCCTGTTCAATACACACACACACCTAACTTAATACCTCCCGATCAACACACATACCTGGCTTTATACGTCCTGTTCAATACACATACACCTGACTCAATACCTCCTGATCAATACACACACCTGACTTAATACCTCCTGATCAATACACACACACCTGACTTAAAACCTCCTGTTCAATACACACACACCTGGCCTAACACCTCCTGATCAATACACACACCTGACTTAATACCTCCTGTTCAATACACACACACCTGGCCTAACACCTCCTGATCAATACACACACCTGACTTAATACGTCCTGATCAATACAAACACACCTGACTCAATACGTCCTGTTTAATACACACACCTGACTTAATACGTCCTGATCAATACACACACCTGACTTAATACGTCCTGATCAATACACACACACCTGACTTAATACGTCCTGTTTAGTACACACACACCTGGCCTAATACCTCCTGATCAATACACAAACCTGACTTAATACGTCCTGTTCAATACACACATACCTGACCTAATAGGTCCTGTTCAGTACACACACACCTGACCTAATACCTCCTGATCAATACACACACCACTGACTTAATACGTCCTGATCAATACACACACACCTGACCTAATACCTCCTGTTCAATACACACACACCTGACTTAATACCTCCTGATCAATACACACACCTGACTAAATACGTCCTGTTCAATACACACACACCTGACTTAATACGTCCTGATCAATACACACACACCTGACTTTATACGTCCTGTTCAATACACACACACCTGACTCAATACGTCCTGATCAATTCACACACCTGACTTAATACGTCCTGATCAATACACACACACCTGACTTAATACGTCCTGTTCAATACACACACCTGAATTAATACCTCCTGATCAATACACAAACCTGACTTAATACGTCCTGTTCAATACACACACCTGACTTAATACGTCGTGTTTAATACACACATACCTGACTTAATACGTCCTGTTTAATACACACAAACCTGACTTAATACGTCCTGTTCAATACACACATACCTGTCTTTATACGTCCTGTTTAATACACACACACACCTGACTTAATACGTCGTGTTTAATACACACATACCTGACTTAATACGTCCTGTTCAGTACACACACACCTGACCTAATACCTCCTGACCAATACACAAACCTGACTTAATACGTCCTGATCAATACACACATACCTGACTTAATACGTCCTGTTCAGTACACACACACCTGACCTAATACCTCCTCATCAATACAAAAACCTGACTTAATACGTCCTGTTCAATACACACATACCTGACTTAATACGTCCTGTTTAATACACACATACCTGACTTAATACGTCCTGATCAACACACACACAACTGACTTAATACGTCCTTATCAATACACACACACCTGACCTAATACCTCATGTTCAATACACACATACCTGACTTAATACGTCCTGTTCAATACACACACACCTGACTTGATACGTCCTGTTCAATACACACATACCTGACTTAATACGTCCTGTTCAATACACACACACCTGACTTAATACCTCCTGTTCAATACACACATACCTGACTTAATACGTCCTGTTCAATACACACACACCTGACTTAATACCTCCTGTTCAATACACACACACCTGACTTGATACGTCCTGTTCAATACACACATACCTGACTTAATACCTCCTGTTCAATACACACACACCTGACTTAATACCTCTTGTTCAATACACACATACCTGACTTAATACGTCCTGTTCAACACACACACACCTGACTTAATACCTCCTGTTCAATACACACATACCTGACTTAATACGTCCTGTTCAATACACACACACCTGACTTAATACGTCCTGTTCAATACACACATACCTGACTTAATACGTCCTGTTCAATACACACACACCTGACTTAATACGTCCTGTTCAATACACACATACCTGACTTAATACGTCCTGTTCAATACACACACACCTGACTTAATACCTCCTGTTCAATACACACATACCTGACTTAATACGTCCTGTTCAATACACACACACCTGACTCAATACCTCCTGATCAATACACACACCTGACTTAATACGTCCTGTTCAATACACACACACCTGACTTAATACGTCATGTTCAATACACACACACACACACACCTAACTTAATACCTCCCGATCAACACACACACACACCTGACTTAATACGTCCTGATCAATACACACACACACCTGACTTAATACGTCCTGTTCAATACACACACACACCTAACTTAATACCTCCCGATCAATACACATACCTGACTTTATACGTCCTGTTCAATACACACACACCTGACTCAATACCTCCTGATCAATACACACACCTGACTTAATACCTCCTGATCAATACACACACACCTGACTTAAAACCTCCTGTTCAATACACACACACCTGGCCTAACACCTCCTGATCAATACACACACCTGACTTAATACGTCCTGTTCAATACACACACACCTGGCCTAACACCTCCTGATCAATACACACACCTGACTTAATACGTCCTGATCAATACAAACACACCTGACTCAATACGTCCTGTTTAATACACACACCTGACTTAATACGTCCTGATCAATACACACACCTGACTTAATACGTCCTGATCAATACACACACACCTGACTTAATACGTCCTGTTTAGTACACACACACCTGGCCTAATACCTCCTGATCAATACACAAACCTGACTTAATACGTCCTGTTCAATACACACATACCTGACCTAATAGGTCCTGTTCAGTACACACACACCTGACCTAATACCTCCTGATCAATACACACACCACTGACTTAATACGTCCTGATCAATACACACACACCTGACCTAATACCTCCTGTTCAATACACACACACCTGACTTAATACCTCCTGATCAATACACACACCTGACTAAATACGTCCTGTTCAATACACACACACCTGACTTAATACGTCCTGATCAATACACACACACCTGACTTTATACGTCCTGTTCAATACACACACACCTGACTCAATACGTCCTGATCAATTCACACACCTGACTTAATACGTCCTGATCAATACACACACACCTGACTTAATACGTCCTGTTCAATACACACACCTGAATTAATACCTCCTGATCAATACACAAACCTGACTTAATACGTCCTGTTCAATACACACACCTGACTTAATACGTCGTGTTTAATACACACATACCTGACTTAATACGTCCTGTTTAATACACACAAACCTGACTTAATACGTCCTGTTCAATACACACATACCTGTCTTTATACGTCCTGTTTAATACACACACACACCTGACTTAATACGTCGTGTTTAATACACACATACCTGACTTAATACGTCCTGTTCAGTACACACACACCTGACCTAATACCTCCTGACCAATACACAAACCTGACTTAATACGTCCTGATCAATACACACATACCTGACTTAATACGTCCTGTTCAGTACACACACACCTGACCTAATACCTCCTCATCAATACAAAAACCTGACTTAATACGTCCTGTTCAATACACACATACCTGACTTAATACGTCCTGTTTAATACACACATACCTGACTTAATACGTCCTGATCAACACACACACAACTGACTTAATACGTCCTTATCAATACACACACACCTGACCTAATACCTCATGTTCAATACACACATACCTGACTTAATACGTCCTGTTCAATACACACACACCTGACTTAATAGTTCCTGTTCAATACACACACACCTGACTTAATACCTCCTGTTCAATACACACATACCTGACTTAATACGTCCTGTTCAATACACACACACCTGACTTAATACCTCCTGTTCAATACACACACACCTGACTTGATACGTCCTGTTCAATACACACATACCTGACTTAATACCTCCTGTTCAATACACACACACCTGACTTAATACCTCCTGTTCAATACACACATACCTGACTTAATACGTCCTGTTCAACACACACACACCTGACTTAATACCTCCTGTTCAATACACACATACCTGACTTAATACGTCCTGTTCAATACACACACACCTGACTTAATACGTCCTGTTCAATACACACATACCTGACTTAATACGTCCTGTTCAATACACACACACCTGACTTAATACGTCCTGTTCAATACACACATACCTGACTTAATACGTCCTGTTCAATACACACACACCTGACTTAATACCTCCTGTTCAATACACACACACCTGACTTAATACGTCCTGTTCAATACACACATACCTGACTTAATACGTCCTGTTCAATACACACACACCTGACTTAATACGTCCTGTTCAATACACACATACCTGACTTAATACGTCCTGTTCAATACACACACACCTGACTTAATACGTCCTGTTCAATACACACACACCTGACTTAATACCTCCTGTTCAATACACACACACCTGACTTAATACCTCCTGTTCAATACACACATACCTGACTTAATACGTCATGTTCAATATATCATGTTCAATGTTCAAGTTATCTTGCATACTGCTCCACCCCGCATAACCTGGCTGAAATCTAGGCATAGTTATCTTGCATATTTCTCCACCCAGCATAACCTGGCTGAAATCTAGGCATAGTTATCTTGCATATTTCTCCACCCCGCATAACCTGGCTGAAATCTAGGTATAGTTATCTTGCATACTTCTCCACCCCGTATAACCTGGTTGAAATCTAGGCATAGTTATCTTGCATACTGCTCCATCCTGCATAGCCTGGCTGAAATCTAGGGATAGTTATCCTCCACAATGTCCTAGTTTCCTCAGTGAGCCCATCCTGCAACAGTGGACAGGGAATAGGTGTCTATGTATAATGATGTATGTCGTGGATAAGCTGACGCGGGCCGAGTAATTAGTGTGACCGACATAGGCACCAGACTTGTAAATAAAGAGCTATGTTTCATGGGTTATCATGTCTTCAGTGATATGGGGGTTCCTGTTACCCGCGGGGAAATCATTGGTGAAAACAGGAATGCTTTATTAGCATCAACAGTGTTCAAGTCAGAGTCGTAGTAGGTGCAATAAATGCCGTCCATGTACTTTACCTTTGAACAACACATTAAGTCTGTATTTATACTGGGAATCCAGCGTTTTGATTGCAAAACATCCAGGTTTTGTTTTGGGGTGAAGAAAACCACTATTTAACAAAGGAGGAAATGTAGACATAAATAAGGGATAGTACTCAGGCAGACATTGTGATGGTCTTGTTCCAGAAAGCGATCTTGGAGCTACGATTAATGACACTCTGAAGTCACGGAGCTCACACGCTAGAGTGAGTGAGTGAGTTTGGTTTTACGCCGCTTTTAGCAATATTCCAGCAATATCACGGCGGGGAACACCACAAATGGGCTTCACACATTGTACCCATGTCGGGAATCGAACCCGGGTCTTCGGCGTGACGTCACCCGCCAGAAACGTTAAGACTTCAGGACCAGCAGAGGGGTCTAAAGAGGTGTAACATTTTACAAATCCGCGTGTCTTATTGGGATTTTGCTTCCTAGATTATTCAGGGCATTACAATTTATCTCCATTATGTTAATTTGATAATTACCCTGGACTCATTCGCCACCATTTTCATGTGATGATTACCTTACCGATGCTAGTATATGACATCTGATCACAAAGACAAATGAGCTGAATATGGAACATGAATGTATTGTGTAAATATTGTCTAGAGGGGTTTCTAAATCGTAAGAACTTGTCCCAAATCCATTTTACTTATGTTTAAACTTAAACCCCACTTCTCTTATGACTAATTTAGTGACGGATGTTTCTCGCCCATGAGATATTTTCATTTGAACGGTTATTACAAACGACGTGTCCAGGATATATTATAAGGTCGTTCTCGCGGGGAACATGGGGTGATGTACCCTCTATATTAGTTTATGTTCCCTGAACTTTATCTTACCTAATTATATCACAGACATGTCTCATGCAAGCATGCTTTGGTCCGAATTAGAAAGAGTAATACATTTATCTACTAGCTTCATATTTCACATTCGTCGAAAAATAGCAGAGGACAGAAAGGAAACTTGAATTATTCCCCCTAGATAAATTTCATTCGGAAAATATTGGAAATACTGAGAATGGCGCATTATTTAATTAATCCGAGATACAAACTTGCGGTTGGTATGTTGCAAATGTAATGCCAACAGTTCGGCAATTCGAGCGAGGAACATAAGCAATGTAACTAACATGTTAGCGGGGTACATTAAAAATACTAAAAAATGGGACTCAGCCAATCACAATCTCAAATTCATGTGAGGTAAGATAAATCGTAATGGAATGGATATACATAACACTGGATAATCAGGGATGGAATTCTGTAACCAATTAATGTATGACCCGTTTGCTCAGGGACCGCGACATCCAATCAGTTGCACAAATCCTGAAAGGGGTCAAGACTCCATGTAGGCTCCGATGGGCATGACAACACCAAATCGATCATGTCGCTCGGACGACAATGTTAACAGTCGTGGCCCTTTGGAGATTACAAGCTCCTTGTCGACCCCTAGACTTCAATTACAAGCTGCCTGTCGATCCCTAGACTTCAATTACAAGCTCCCTGTCGATCCCTAGACTTCAATTACAAGCCCCCCGTCGATCCCTAGACTTTAATTACAAGCTCCCTGTCGATCCCTAGACTTCAATTACAAGCCCCCCGTCGATCCCGAGACTTCAATTACACACTCCCTGTCGATCCCTAGACTTCAATTACAAGCTCCCTGTCAACCCCTAGACTTCAATAACAAGCTCCCTGTCGACTCCTAGACTTCAATTACAAGCTGCCTGTCGATCCCTAGGCTTCAATAACAAGCTCCCTGTCGATCCCTAGACTTCAATTACAAGCTCCCTGTCGACCCCTAGACTTCAATTACAAGCTCCCTGTCGACCCCTAGACTTCAATTACAAGCCCCCCGTCGATCCCTAGGCTTCAATAACAAGCTCCCTGTCGATCCCTAGACTTCAATTACAAGCTCCCTGTCAACCCCTATACTTCAATTACAAGCTCCCTGTCGATCCATAGACTTCAATTACAAGCTCCCTGGCGACCCCTAGACTTCAATTACAAGCTCCCTGTCAACCCCTAGACTTCAATTACAAGTTCCCTGTCGATCCCTAGACTTCAATTATAAGCTCCCTGTCAACCCCTAGACTTCAATTACAATCTCCCTGTCGATCCCTAGACTTTAATAACAAGCTCCCTGTGGACCCCTAGACTTCAATTACAAGTTCCCTGTCGATCCCTAGACTTCAATTACACACTCCCATTCGCTGTCTATTGTACGTTTAGCTGAATTGTATCATTGGAACGTTTCTTTTAAACCATTAAACGCTGAAATATCAGGTATATCATGCTACACAGATAGCCCTGGGAATGTTTTAAGTTCTTGTCATTGGTCAACGTCGTTCTGAAGGTCATACTCTCGCGATCAGGTTGCTGACACCACAGATAAAAAAGACCACTGTGTAGGTCGTCAGGAAAGTAATTTACTGCAACAATTTTGCAGTCTTTGGAGAAATTGTTATTTGTTTTAAATAACTGGGTCTATCTCATTAATAACAAAGGATTACAAACTAACCATTACTGTATTATGTCACTGTGACCTTCAACCAATGAGGCGTGAAGGCCGTTCGTGAAGTAGCTGCTCCCGTTGCTGTGATGTGGGTCAATATCACATCAAGTGAAATAATGTTCAAAGCGGCGTAAAACCCTCCTCACTCACTCACTCAATCTAGGTTAATAGGCATCGTGTAAAGATGAGTGACTACGGTATGTCCACAGTCGAACTCATACGGCCGTTCATTGTAGATATGACCCCTATGGCTTTGACTGAGAGCGGGACACATCACTCGCGCTGCACACTCCCAACGTCATCACAACAAAAACATCCCGCAGCGCTACAGCTACTATCGTTCTGGGACAAGTCAAGGTTAGTTTGTGTGTTTAATATCGAAATGCCTAAAATATGTTGGGGTCAACTGTAGTTTATGATTGTACCATATCATGTTACCCCCATTGGATTCCAGGAGAGAAGAGGTCCCCATTATCCAATCCTTGTCGATAAATGAGTATCGGGTGGTCAGTCTCTTGTCGGCAATTGTGTATCGGGTGGTCAGACTTAGATCGACAAATGAGTACCGAGTGGTCAGATTCAGGTCGACAAATGAATATCGGGTGGTCAGACTCTTGTTGACAAATGAGTACCGGGTGGTCAGACTCAGGTAGACAATTGAGTATCGGATGATCAGACTCAGGTCGACAATTGAGTATCGGGTGGTCAGACTCAGGTCGACAAATGAGTATCGGGTGGTCAGACTCTTGTTGACAAATGAGTACCGGGTGGTCAGACTCAGGTAGACAAATGAGTATCGGGTGATCAGACTCAGGTCGACAATTGAGTATCGGCTGGTCAGACTCAGGTCGACAAATGAGTATCGGGTGGTCATACTGTGATCGATAAATGAGTATCGGGTGGTCATACTGTGGTCGACAAATGAGTATCGGGTGGTCAGACTCAGATAAACAAATGAGTACCGGGTGGTCATACCGTGATCGACAAATGAGTATCGGGTGGTCATACCGCGATCGACAAATGAGTACCGGGTGGTCATACCCTGATCGACAAATGAGTACCGGGTGGTCATACCGTGATCGACAAATGAGTATCGGGTGATCAGACTCAGGTCGACAAATGAGTCTACTTTCGGAATCAACACATTCGAGTGATTTCTCCGACTTAACCATGTGCTGGTTGATATATAATTCCTCTGAAATTCCTCTGAAATCGTTTTACAGTAAACTACGGTTATAACAAACTCAATTGGACCAATAGTTTTAGTTCGTTATAGCCGAAGTTCGTCATGCGCATATATACAGCAAAAATACTAAAATTGACGGGACTAACAAAAAACAGTTCGTTTTATCCGTCATTTCGTTTTAAGCCTGTTCGTTATAAACGGGATTTACTGTACTTAAAACTGCCTGTTCAGAAAAAGCCAGTTTAGTCACTGAATTAACTGTAGGAATAATCGCACGACGTCTTGATTATGGTTTAATTATGAATAAAACATTCATTTGATTAAGTCATGTCCCTTTCTGTTTCAGCTCTTGGGATCAAAATGGACCTAAACAACCTCACCATCACCATCGGCGAACACAACTTCTCAAGCAGCAACAAGGGCATGGACGTCTTCTCCGTGTTGGGACCAATCAACACAGCCTGGATCGCCCTCTCCAACCTCGTGCTCACAATGGTGCTGTTGTCGTCTGCTCACCTCCGCACTCAGCTCAGAATACAACTCATTGTCTGTATCTCCATCTGCGATATGACCAACGGTGTTCTTGTCAACGCCTTCTTCTCACACTCTGCCATCAACAAAACCTGGGATCTTGGATGTCCTTTCCATTTCCTCTTGCAGTTACTCGGCGTGTTCGCAGATGTCTTTCTCACCTCATGGTACCTCGTGCTCCTCAATGCTACATATTTTGTTGTACTGATGGGATTTTCCTTTCGAAAGTTATCTCCCCTGGGTGACAAGGTCGTCCATGCAGTGTTGCTACCCCTGCCGGTGCTCCTGTTCTGTGTAGTCGCTCTACCAATGATATTCACCCATTTAAGAGATGTCAAACCGTCAAACAGCGTCTTTTGTCCACTGTATTTGGAAAATGAGTATGAGGTCGCTATGTGTTTCGTCTGTTTCTTCATCCCGGCGATATCTTTGGTTATCTTCTGCGCATTTTTCATCATCTTCCGGAAATCAGGAACGTGTCCTCGCGAGACCTTGGCCCGCAATGTCCTGTCTGAGACAACAATGGTGGAACGACCAATGTATTTTGTCATCCCAACTGTTGCTATGTTGATCATGATGATACCAGATCAGTTAGTGAACGTTTTGTTTTTCACTAACTCAATTCACCCTCCTAAAGGGCTTGGCTGGATGTTCATGCTGTTCGCCACCATGGAAACGACAAGAGGAGGCTTTCTTCCTGTTATGTGGCTGCTCTTCCCTGACATCCGTCAAGCCGTTAAAGACAAGCTCAACTGTAGACAGCGGTTCAATGTCGCAGCAGCGATGACAGTGACAAACATTGGATACAGAGATCTGCAAAATCAGTAGCCCTTGTGAGCAGAAATTAATTGTTCTTACTTCTCGTCGCAACATTCTCACATGGTCCTTAGTATAAGAGATATGGGTCGCACGTTGATATCAATTTCGACAAACAGTAGTCAGTTTGTATAAGTGGCATTTGGACGTTGTTGTACAGTCGAAGACATCTTGACCGTGTTGAGTTCGTTGATGCTGGTCAGTATCACCTATCCATGCAGGATCCACTAGTCTTTCAGTGGCATTTAGAAGTTGTATGATAAAACGAAGCTGTAGCATCGAATGCAATCCTGCCTAACTTAATAACAGAACTGGGCCTTGTTCCTCCAAGCGATCTTAGCGCTACGATGATCGTAAGCCTATGTTAAAGTATGGGAGTTACGATCACCTTAGTGCTGAGATCGCTTTGAGGAACGGGGCCCAGGTCTGATAACCGGATCGGAAGAGGCGTTTGTTCTTGAACATCACGCTAGCAACAGACTGAAAAAGGACATAACGTGCGACCTCGAATAATGGTGTTAAATTTAAAGAAAGACTCTGCCGGGATGAGAATCACGTTTTTTGAGATAAAGGGATGATTGCTTTATTGTAAATGTGGAGTGAGTTTTCCACGTGTTTTGGCCACGAAAGTGGAAGAAACTCAAGATACGATTTTTTGGTGACATGGACGGAACAATTGATGCAGACAAAACATGAAACAGCCAACTTGCTACCTTTCCTGTACGGGTAGTGCGGACACTTTGCCCACACACTGGTGTTGAATGTTGAGACAAGGGCAATAGCTCGTCACTGAAGCGACTGACAATCAAACTGTGGGAATCTCAGTGTTTTGCCTCTTCGAGCGCTATGCCCTTGGTCTATTTCAAGCATTTCAGCCAACTTGCTACCTTTTCCACACTGATAGTACGGACACTTTGTCCATAAAATGATGTTGAAAGTTGAGATAGGGGTAACAGTGAGTCACTGAAGCGACGTACAATCACACAGTGAAAATCTGAGTATTTTGCCTCTTCGAGCGCTTCCCCAAATATTGTATGCCTCATTTTTCAGCATTTCAGTTTATTCATCTGTGCATATGACGCGAGTTGCAAGAAGCCATGGTTAAAACGTACTTGTCACGCGAGTATATACGCGTTGGCTGTATATATGTCGTATATTTTAGAAGTTGTAGTTAGTTTTTAAATATGTGTAAATATTCTAAATGTTCTAAAAGCAATCACGATCAGTAAATATATCACGCTAATTCTCCATGATGTTCAATAACCTATATGTTTGTTTGAACAATCGTCAAATAAATTAGAGTGGCGGAGATTTTCGTTTCTCATTTAACGACGTATAAATTCTATGATGGATCGTTCATATTCTATTCGTCTTTTGGTTTGTTTGTTTGTTTGTTGTTAAATGCCGCACTCGGTTATATTCCAGTTATTTGACGGCGGTCTGTATATAATCGAGTCTGGACAAGAAAATCCAGTGATTGACATCATGTGCATCGTTCTACGCAATTGGGATACAATGCCATGCATTAACCAGGTCAGCGAACTCTAACCCGGATCTTCACGCGTTCGTCTTTTGGTACAGATATCCATTTATTCCATGAAACAACAAACTGCTTACTATTTGGGGGAATGTAAATTGTCCTAAAAGGATTCCATATGTCAATATCTGTTGAAATGTCAGTAGCTTTATAACTATAAAGGACTTCAATCGTGTTTTTATTCTGATATAGGGTCTCGGTGGCAAAGTTGCTTAAAGCCTATCGGCATAGGTTCGAATCCCTCTGATTATATTTCTGGACTTTCCATGCTCGTGGGTTTTCACCGAAGTGGTAAACATCTAACATCTGCATCACTTCAGGATTTCCTCCCACATCAAGCTGACACACCGTGACATAACCGAAATACTCCCACATCAAACCGACACACATTGATATAAACTTCCCTATGTTTGTCCGCTAGCTCAACCCGTATGACGTATATACATCTATCAGTTAAATATTGCCCTAATTCCACACAATTAGACACGATTTCAGCTTCAGTCGAGGCACTAGTTACATTGTCTAAACCTATACTGGGCTTGGGCACCACATCATGGGGTATTATCCCTCTTTAAGTAGGAAGGCGATCAGGCAAACCAGTGATTGATAGAGTGAACATCGACGGTATGCTACGTTGATACATGTACCGAATCATGTAACACAGGTGCACGCGGGGCCCAGTCCTCTGTGGCGCCGCAACTCTCTCGGGGTTGCGTCCCTTTGTCTGGCGTGTGATGATCTTGTATTGCTCATCAGCATAACAGGGCTCGTGGGTTTTACTATTTGAGTAATAATGTAAACTTCCAGGACCTGCAGCACTTCCGGCTTTCCCCCCACATGAAGCTGGAATTCCTTTAAAAGATTGCGTTAAACCTTACCCACTCACTCATACCTGATACATACAGTGTCATCACATATTCAGGGACGACATGGGATCGCTTTGAGGCCCATGACGTCACATACTAACCTCAGTGTCACGGGCTTTACGAACTACTATTAACGTACAATCGTTATTGCACTGGACCTTGTCATGCCCTGATATTCTATATAAAGAACAAGAGTCAATAAGGCATTAAGAAGTTGGAGTTCTAAGTGAGGATAAGATATATGGATGAACAACTTCTTTATTATAATTAGGAGCGACATGTCGGTGTAGGTTCTAATCGGTTCAGGGCGGTCGGGTAGCCCAGTGGATAAAGCGTTCGCTTGTCACGCCGAAGACCCGGGTTCGATTCCCGAAATGGGTACAATGTGTGAAGCCCATTTCTGGTGTCCCCTGCCGTGATATTGCTGGAATATTGCTAAAAGCGGCGTAAAACCATACTCACTGACTCACTCACTCTAATCGGTTCATCATATGACCTTTGGAAACAATACAAGGAAACAAAGATATTCATTCATGACTGTTTATGTATGTGAGGAGCGTAAGTATCCATCGATGGTAGACCCCATAGCGTCTGATGTAGGACGTCAGTTGTTGATGGATCTGCGTCACTGCATCAAAACAAATTAAAAGATTACTGCAGAACGATAATGACACTGACACATCTCAAAACAAAACAAAACAAACTGGAGGAGTCTCTCGTGAGTTGACTGAAGGTTGTTTGGGTGAGTGAGTGAGTGAGTGAGTGAGTGAGTGAGTGAGTGAGTATGGTTTTACGCCGCTTTTAGCAATATTCCAGCAATATCACGGCGGGGGACACCAGAAATGGAATTCACACATTGTACCCATGTCGGGAATCGAACCCGGGTCTTCGGCGTGACGAGCGAACGCTTTAACCACTAGGCTACCCGACCGCACCGAAGGTTGTTTGGAGTTGGCGACGTTAAAGTCACCTGTACTGTGTGTGTTCCTCATCTCCAGCCCGTGCTCAAAAGGAGATCCGATAGGTTATAATGTCCCCCAATGTATAACTCTGACTATATAAATATCCCGTTTTGAAAAAAAGGTATTTCCTGTGGCAGAAGGGATGTAACTCTGGGAATATTTTCGGTTTTACCTTCTGGTCGTCCTCGATAATCCAGTGTAAATTTATCTATCAATTCTTTGGTGACATCCAAACGAAACGATACAAAGGAAAAAGCACGAGCTACACAGGTTATTCATGCGTATGAAGGAGCATTGTCTTGGTCTGGGGACTTGAAAACAAGGTTGGTTGTCACTGGAAGCGACATTAATACACGGAGGTATCGAGATGAAGTTGTGCGGTCCGTCCTGAGACGGACTTCCCCAACAACACCCACATTCCTGTTCTGCAATGACCTGCATGTTCTTCTAACATGAACCCCATCGAACCAAATGTGGGGTCATCTGGACAGGCAAATGAGAAGGCGACGAGTCCCACCAATCAACCGTCAGGACATGGACCAATCTCATCTTTATGAATGGCAATGGATTCCCACTAATGTCATCCGGCGCTTGATGTCATCGAAGCGGCGACGTGTTGTGGCGTGAAATGATGCACGAGGTGGACATACTCGCCATTAATCCAGTGTTTATTGACTTTGCAGACACTTTTCATACTGTCGTACAGGTCTTGACAGTGATAATGTTGATCATCTCATTGACCCCCATGTGTTTTGGGTCACTGTTACTCAAACAGTTTCTGTTGTTTTGGAGTGTAATAAGTTTTTCACAACATGCCCAAACCCCACTCCAACTGGGGTTATATCTTTTGAACGTGCCACATATTTTGGTTGTTCTTCAGGAGTTTCTCGGAGTATTGGTACAGTTTCATTTGGACGTCGATTTATTATGAGAAATACCCAGGACACATCCGCTACTACAGTTTGAAACGAATCGAATGACACGACGCTAAAAAACCCATCCAATCACATTGCACCAACGAGCGAGAAAAAGACGATAAGATATATCAGGTAGTCTTATTTGGATGGAGTGACCACTCCACTTTGACCTCAAGAGGTCACACTTACAAGATCAAACTTGCGAACCATTATCGTACCATTTTCCAACAGACAACTTATTAATTGTTTCTCAACCAAGGTAGTGTTTGTGGTGTTTATTTCTCCCACCTCTTCTGAAGTAAATAACATCCAAATTACGGATTTTCCACCAATTTCAAAATTATATAAAACGGATGGTTTCCCCGTTCTGGTGATTACGATGGTTCCCGGTCGTAATGTCTGGATTATTATACACTGACGGGCAAAAGAAAGTATACACTTGAAAATTGGATTTGATCAAAACATTTCAAAAGTTATCAAAGCGATACTAGGCTGAAAGCAGTCGTCGAAACAGTGCAAACTTAGGTCCAAAACATAACTTTGATAACCGTATCAAATACATCCCCTTCGAATAGAAAAACCAAACCATTTCTAGCTTGTTTAATATTTAGCCACCATCAACATAGGTGCATACTTCTTTTGCCCGGCAGGATTGATGGCCACATGGCTTTGGAGTGAGTGAGTGAGTGAGTGAGTGAGTATGGTTATACGCCGCTTTTAGAAATATTCCATCAATATCACGGCGGGGGCCCCAGAAATGGGCGTCACACATTGTACTCATGTCGGGAATCGAACCCGGGTCTTCGGCGTGACGAGCGAACACTTTCACCACTGGGCTACCCGACCGCCCCAAATGGCTTTGGACATGACAAACTAACAAGAATGGCCTAATGCTGTTTCGGAACAAACATACATAGCTTTCGTCCCTTAAGTATGTACGGGAGAGTGAGTGAGTTGAACATCGCAATGTCAATGTTACTGAAGGACAATACTTACACGTGGCCTCACATCGTCCAGTGCCTGAGCACTGCAATCATCAAAGCGCCGACCATTAACCACAGGTGTACCATCTGTACCGTGGCCTCTGCGCTCATCATGCTGTCATCCGATGGCTGTAAATCAGTGGAAATGTCATAGAGACTTAGTGGCACCCTACGCCCAAAAGATATGGAAGCTATATTGGACAGAAAAGTATAAGCTAGTTGCTTATTATATCATCTTCCCGATGCAAGGGAGTTAACTGACTTTAAAAGTCCAGTTTCCACCCTTGCCGAACTAGGCTGGAATTACTTGGCTCGATCGTTGCGCCACCAGTGGCTATTACCAATTATGTCCCTTCTAAGCCTCTCCTATGGACCAATCAGATTCCACCTCTCGTATCACTTGCGTTTGCTTCACACAAAATGGTGGCGCCCAGTCAGGACTATCTGATCGATAATCAAGATCTATATTGTGATAAAACGGGTCTTACATCGCGAAATGCATCAAATCACGTGATCACCTTGATTAAAAACATGAAAGGATTTGGAAAATATCTGCTGACAACGAATTGGCGAAGCACATGCTTTGCAAACCCTGCAATCGATCGAAATCTGCACGACAGTTTACGAACCGGATTTTGATTTCGGTGCGCGATTTTGATTGGACTATGCATAGACTCGTTAGTCCAGACAAAACGTAACTCCATAATACCAGCCTAGTTCGGCAAGGGTGGAAACTGGATTTTTATAGTCAGTTAACTCCTTTGCCTCGGGAAGATGTTATTATACGGGCACCGACTTATACTTTGAGGTGCGAGATCACTAGGCTGGCTGAGGAACAGGATTGTTAAAAAAATCAGTATTTACTGGAACAAATGGATTTTTTTCAAAATTTCTGCCAATGACCATCTTGAGACATAGATTTACCTTTCACGCGTTCTCAATGCAAAGAAGCCCTAGCATATGATTCCATAAAGAAATCCCCGTTATTTTATCTATACATTGCGACCGTCAATGATCCTGTTACGATGAATTCATCA